CCACCTTTGGTCCTTCACTCTCTCCTCCCATGCTGTCTAGGCCAGTGGCCTTGAGCAACTCAATACTGTGCCTCCGATGCCTCATTTTACACCTTCCTCATTCTCTTGAGCAATAGCCACCACAGTGGCTCCTCAGGATGATACAGTAACAAGTCCAATATCTTCCACAGTGCCCTTTGGGACCTGCCTGAAAGTCTCAGGGCTTCCTGCCTTGTTTCTTCTCTCACTGTTTACACTAAGCCCCAGGAAGTCCTGGCTTAAACAAGGCCCTACGCCGGGCGGTGGTGGCGCACGCCTTTAATCCCAGCACTCGGGAGGCAGAGCCAGGCGGATCTCTGTGAGTTCGAGGCCAGCCTGGGCTACCAAGTGAGCTCCAGGAAAGGCGCAAAGCTACGCAGAGAAACCCTGTCTCGAAAAACAAAAACAAAAAACAAAAACAAAACAAGGCCCTTACAGATTCAGATTGCTTCTTTGCACCACTAAGGCTGCTACCTGACCTGGCTCCTAATCGTTCCTTTGCCATTTCAGGCCTTGCCTCCTTGGCCAACTCCCAGCTGTAGGGAACTTAGTGTAGTTCTACACACTAAGCTTGTGCAGTGAAATCTCTAGTCAATGCTCTTACAGTGGTCCATACCATTGAATGTACCCCTTTCCTGACTCTGTTCCAGCAATACAAGCCATGCTGCTTATTGTGCTCCATATTAGAAACAGGTGCTGGGCAGTGGTGGTGCACGCCTTTAATACCAGCACTTGGGAGGCAGAGCCAGGCGGATCTCTGTGAGTTCAAGACCAGCCTGGTCTACAGAGCGAGATCCAGGGTAGGCACCAAAACTACACACAAAAAAAACCCTGTCTCAAAAAACAAAAACAAACAAACAAACAAGAAACAGGCTGCTGCCTTGCCTGGAATAATCCTTCCCAGATCCGTGGGCCAAGCCATCACTACCTATTAAAACTTCACCCAGTTAAAAGCCGTCTTTCTCTACTACAACAGTCTCTGAGACTCTGCAAACAATGTATGGTGTTTCCAGGTGTTCTCTAGACACAAGTGATTTGAAGACTATATATAATAGTTGCAAGATGTGGCCAGTTTGTAACAACAACCAGAAATAACTGAAGTATCAACACCTAACTAATATTCAGATTTGGTCACCAATTAATAAAGGTACTCATTTATTCTAATGACAATTCTTTTCTTTCTGTTAAATTAAAAAGCATCTAAAGCCGGGCGGTGGTGAGTTCAGGAAAGTGCAAAGCTACACAGAGAAACTGGGGGGGTGGGGGGGGCAGCTAAAAGCAAAAGTTATCACTGGGGTTAAAAAATGGCCCAGTACTCGACAGCACTTGCTGCTTCTGCAGAGGACGCAAGTTCAGTTCCAAACACCCACATGGTGTTCACAACTGCCTGTAACTTGCTACATGGGATGCAATGCCCTCTTTTGGACCCCTGAGCACTGTACACATGAGGTGCACATACATACATGCAGGCAAATACACACAAAAAATTAAAATAAATCTTTTTTAAAAGTTGTTATCATTAAATGTCTTCTTCCTATTTTTCTGCAGAAACCAAGTGTCCACAATGAATATGCTCAGCCAGTTGCCAATGGTCCTCATGTGGAATGCAGGCTGAGAGAAACAAACCAACTCCTAACCTTCACACCTTACAGTCCTGGGAATAAGCAGCAACAGCCTGATTCCTTGGGGGATAACTTTCTATCCACACACACAGCCAATATGCCTGCCTTGTTTTCCTTACAGCACACAGGGATCACTGCACATCTAGGTCTCCCAGCTAATCTGCCAGCATTAGGAATCTGCCCTTTCCTGCTTCCCAGCTGCATGCACAGAATATGGAGCACAGCACACCTTCCACTGCATACTCAGGCTACCTGAGTTATGAGTCTGTTCCACCCTATCTATGAATACAAGAAAAGTACACAGACACATATAAACACCTACATGTTTACAAAACACAAAAGATACTGGGATGACACTCCATATATCTGTTTTTAATTGTAGATGAGGAGTTCTGTCTGGTATCTCTAACTAACTGGCTAACAACTGACTGAAGGGGTCACACAGCAATCTACCATGGGATGTGTGATTATTTATGTTCCTTTGTTATAGGACTATCCAATCATTTTAGTTTTATGACCACAGGTGACACTGTGATGAACAACAGACTCAGGTAAATACTGGTGCAGGTTTCATTTACACAGGGTATTTTAAAATCAACCACAAAGTCCACAGGAGGACTAAAAGGATTGCTTCCATGTCTGCTGTTACAGTTCTCTTTGCTCCAACTGATACTTCCCTAAAACACATGATGAATGGGCATCTCAACTCCAAGGAGCTATAAACAACTCAGAAGCATTCTTTTTTGTTTGTTTGTTTGTTTCCTTTAGACTTTTTCTTTATTCTTCTTATGTGTCCTCTCCTAATTTTTCCTGTGAGCTCCTTCCCTCCTTTTTTTTTTTTTATTTATTTTACAATACTATTCAGTTCTACATAACAGCCACAGATTCCCTTGTTCTCTCCCTTCCTGCCCCCCCTCCCCTTCCCCCCAGCCCACCCCCCATTCCCACCTCCTCCAGATCAAGGGCATTCTTGCATGTTCTCACTAACACAGGCCAGATAAACAAAGGAAAGGAACAGGATTAAGGAAATACCAATACTGTCTTAAGTACAATCATACAAGGGACACACACACACACACACACACACACACACACACACACACACAAAGGGTTTCCTATCTGGTAAAAGACACTTAAAACCAAACACCAGACACTAAACTCATAGTTAATGATGAAATCCTGAAAGTGTGTTCTTTAAGATTAGAAAAGGCAAAGGCTGGGCGTGGTTGCACACACCTTTGTTCCCAGCACTAGGGAGGCAGAGGCAGGCAGATCTAGTGTGAGTTGAGGCCAGCCTGGGCTACAGAGTGAGTTACAAAGAAAGCAAACAAAAGCAAGACAAAGGCTGGGGATGTTGGCTCGTGCTCATCAAGCCAGCACACGGAAGGCTGAGACAGCAGGACTATCAATTAGGGGCCAGCAACACAGTGAGGCCCTGCTCCCACCCCACCCTCCACAAAAGAGAAAAAGGAGCAAGGAAGACAGAGGTGAACACAGTCATTTGACATTGTTTGGGAAATATCAGCCACCACACAAAACCAAACAAGAAATAAAATCTCATCAGCGGAGTCTACACAGGACACCCAAAGAGCTGCCGCACAACAGATAGCAGCAGTGCTGATAAAATGTTACTTTTCCCTTTTTCGAGACAGGGTTTCTTAGTGTGGCTTTGGCTGTCCAAGAACTCGCCTGCCTCTGCCTCCCAAGTGCTGGGATTAAAGGCATGAGCCACCTCTGCCCAGCTAATTAAATCTTTTTTGTTTGTTTCAAGAGACAGGGTTTCTCGGTGTAGTTTTGGTACCTGTCCTGGATCTCGCTCTGTAGACCAGGCTGGCCTCGAACTCACAGAGATTCGCCTGCCTCTGCCTCCCGAGTGCTGGGATTAAAGGCTTGCAGTGAGAGAAAAAAAAAAAGGCTAGAAAGATGGCTCAGTATTTAAGCATACTGGCTGATTTTCTTGAAGACCCAGGTTCAATCTTCAGCACCTCCATGGCAGCTAACAATCATATTATTTAAGTTCCAAGGGACCCAACACCGTCTTATTACCTCTGTAGGTATCAGGCATACATGTGGTGCACAGTCATACACAAAATATAAACAGTGCTAAGTGTGGTAGTGTACACCTTTGATTCCAGCACTCAGGAGAGGTAACCATATCTAGTTAAGTTTGAGGCCAACCTGGTCTACTTACAGACAGGCTATATAGTGAGAACCTGTCTTCTCCCTCCTCACAAAAAACTCAAAATAATAAAATACCTACACAGAGATCTCAAACAAACGAGGCAGGGAACATGACAACAAACGCCCATCTCTGTGAGGAGGAAAGGCTGTGAGTGGTCCAAGAGAGCACACAGGCAACATTATGACTGGACACAAGGAACCAAAAGTAACCAGGAGTAAAACCAACCCCAAGAGAAAGGTCAAACTGCTCCAAACGTCAGGCCACAGGGCCACAGATAAGGACGTCAGAGCAGAAACCACCTTATCCTGTCAAGCTATGATGTGCATTATATCGGTAATGTGAATAACTGTCATGTGAAATCTGAGCTCACTCAAATGCAAGTGGGGTTGACCCCACCCCATTTCAGATCCAATTTGAGTTGTCTCAAATCATTGTCTAAGGCTCTTTTGTCTGGGGATGTGTTGCTCCCCCCAACTCTGTGACAGGGAGAAGAAAACAAGAAAACAACCCAAGAGTAAAAACCCTTAAGGGCCAGACGTCAACCACTTCCAGCTTACTGATGTTCTTCCCATGCTATCCAAGTGCCTAGAGTGGGGAAGAAAAACTGCAAGTCCAGCCATCAACTTCCCCAGCTGGTTTCTACCGGTGCTGTAAAAACCTGAGTTGATGTCATCTCTGTTGCTATATGTTCTTTTACTTGGAAGCCTCACTCAAGGAAGACACTGCTTTGCAAAGATACAGGACTTTTGATGGGGATCTCTGCCTGACTGCATTAGTCAGTTTCTGCTGGATGTTGTTTGTAAGCCTCTGATGTGAGGATGTTTCCTTCCTACTGTTATTTGTTCTTTTACTTGGAAATTTCACAGCAAAAAAACTGAGTAGATGTAGCAGACAGAATTCCAACAATGGTCCAAATGGCTCTCATCTTTATGGACAGATCTGGTATAACATACCCAAACCAAACACGTCTGACTCCTTTTCTGGCTACGCCACACAATGCCATCAGAGCCTGAGTAAGTAACAATAAGCTCCAGAAATGTGATAGATGCTTTGGGCTCCAAACTGCAATAGCTGACACACAGGTAACACTCCAAAGTATAGCAGGATCACAAGAGTCCAAGACAGATTCACATCATCCTATGTATGTTTAATATTTTTTTGTTCTCCTGTAATTTTACCTTATAAAACACATCAGGAACATACTGCTCACTGCTGGACTCCTTGGCATAGCCGAGCTCAGGGGCATCCTTACAAGGTAGAAGACATTCATCTCGGACCAGTGCCATGCACTGATTGGATACCTGGTACCCTTCAAAGTGAACCTGGTTGTCTGGACCACCTGTAAGAGAAAAACCTTCTAAGAGAATCTACCAAAAAGGATAATCAGAAGCATTTCATGGCACCTATCTTCCAACTTGTAGGAAGCAAACAGTCAAGACTCTGTTAGGTAATCTGGAGGATGGCTGGAGCACGAGGCTTTGGACACTGCTCACTCCTCCACAGCCAATAGTCACACATGACAGGTGGTCAGAGTCCACTGTTCCACCCCCATCCCCAGAGCTCTGGGGATGCTTAGTGCCCTTAAAGCACACAGACTACCAGTTTGGAACAGGAAAGGATAAAGACAGATCATCCCACATCCCACCAGCTTTAGCACCTGAGTGAAGAGGGTTAGAAACAAGAATAGACTCATTTCCAGGCAAGGGGGTTGGGAAGGCAGGTATAGAGGTAGGTAACATAACAAACTATATGGGACTGGTTGCTGAGTTCTTGTCTTGTATACATGAAGCCCTAGGTTCAATCTCTGGCATAAACCAGGCATAGTGGTAAATGCCTGTAATCCTAATACTTGGGAGGTAGAGGTAGGAGAATCAGAAGTTCAAGGTCATCTTCTGGTACATAGCAAGTTCAAGGCCAGCTTAGGCTTCATGACAAACAAAACCACACCAAAAAGCTCAGCCATGGGTATCTGAAGACTGGCCTGGGTTTCAGACCTACAACTCACAGAGGAAAAAGAGAACTGACTTCCACTCCTATATGCACACACACACACACCCAACACCACCCCACGCCCTCTCTAAATAAAAAAAAGAAAACTGATCCTAGCACACAGATCACAGATCAGCATTCCCCAGATTACAGAAACCTATGTGGTCTGATGGTATCAAGTCAGTGGCCCGGGCATCTCATACTGTGATACCTGGACACTGCCCAGACCTATAGTAATAAGTACCCCACCAGTCTCTTCACAGCTCTCCATGCTAATGATACATATACTGCCCTGTAATGATACATATACTGCCATAAAGATTTAACATTAAGGGCGGCTGGAGAGACAGTGAATAAAGGCACCTATCGCCGGCTTGAGTTTCATCTCTAGACCCCACATGACAAAAGAAAAGAAATGACTCCTGCAAGTGGTCCTCCGACCCCTGCATGCACTCCACAGCACACAGGCTATGGCCCATGTCTCCTGCAAGTGGTCCTCCGACCCCTGCATGCACTCCACAGCACACAGGCTATGGCCCATGTCTGCCAACAAACACAAAAGGTACACACACAAAACAAATACAAAAGTACATATTTGTGATACTGTATTTTATAATAAAACATGAATTTGGTTTTAAGAAAACATTAAATTAAGGACAAAGATAGTATAAATGGATATTTCAGAGAGAGCCATCCAGACAGTTACACTGGAGCCCTGAAATTAGGAGGGTGAGGAGAGGGTAATGTCGAATGGGTAGGTGTCATCCAAGAATCAGGGCTACACACAAGGACAACTCCAGTGTCTACTATTTTTTTTTAAATGATTTATTTTTATTTTATGTACACTGGTGTTTTGCTTATATGTCTATGTGAAGGCATAGGGTCCCCAGAACTGAAATAACAGACAGCTGTGAGCTGACAGGTGGGTGCTGGGAATTAAACAGTGGTCCTCTGAAAGAGCAGCCAGTGTTCTTAATCACTGAGCCATCTCTCCAGCCCCTCATCGTTCTTTTATAGCATTGGAGATACTATAAAAAATCCTATCTCTACTTCAGTTTGAAAACAGTTACAAATCAGGAAAGAGACTCAGTCTGTCTAGTTTTCAAACACATCTGACTGAGAAATACGATCAGAGAAAGTGGAACCAAAGGCAAGGTGGCCCCTGAGCAGTTCACCACTACACACCCAGGCCAAGTGCCAAGTGCTGCGCACCAGTTTCCAATGTCCTGTTCAGAGAGGGCCTCGCGCTTTCCCCTCCGTCCTGCCGCAGACCTCCATTACATGTCCTCAGCATAGCCAAGCTCAGCTGTCCAGTGCGTCTGACAGCAGACACAAAGCACCATACTTGAGCTCACTGGCTCAGAATGCAGAGACCAAAGTTGGAGGAATTCAAGAAAGTCATCATATGTACAGCTATTTACTCAGGATACTTCAAAATGGGACTGGTTTTCAGATCAATCTTTAAGTGTGACAGGTCACTAGGAAGAGAAAAACTTAGTGTGAAGAGGATGGTAAGTAGTATCTATAAATACAAGATTATTTAAAAAAAAAAAAAAAAGCATCAGAAACCAGGCATGGTGATGCATGTTTCTAATTCCAGCACTTGTAAGGTGGAGACAAGAAGATCAGGAGTTTAAGGCTAGCCTGGACCACATGAGATCCTCCCCTCCCCCAAAAGAGCTCAGGATATATAGCTCAGTAGATCCAGCGAGCTTGAGGCCCTGAATTCAATTTCCAACATCACAAAAAAAGGGGGAAGGGCAGGAGGAGTAATTTGTCCATACAGGTAGTGTGGTGGTATTGTGTTCCCCAAAATATTGTGTACTCTAATAAATTTATCTGGGGTCAGAGAACAGACAGCCACTAGGTACAAAGGCTAGAAAATGGTGGCACTCACACCTTTAATCCTAGCATTCCAGAGATAGAAATCCCTCTGGATCTCTGTGAGTTCAAGGCCACATTGGAAATAGCCAAGCATGGTGACACGCCTTTAATCCCAGAAAGCCAGCCTTTAATCCCAGGGAGTGGTGGTAGAAAGCAGAAAGATATATAAGGCGTGAGGACCAGAAACTAGAAGATTTTGGCTGGTTAAGCATTCAGGCTTTTGAGCAGTAATTCAGCTGAGACCCATTCTGGATGAGGACTCAGAGGCCTCCAGTCTGAAGAGACAAGACCAGCTGAGGATCCGGCAAGGTGAGATAGCTATGGCTTGTTCTGTCTCTCTGATCTACCAGCATTGATCCCAATAACTGGCCTTGGGTTTGATTTTATTAATAAGAACTTGTAAGATTCCTGCTACAAGGTAGTCTCTGCAAATAACTTAAGCTACACACATATTCCTTTTCCAAGTGGAGAAGAAATACATGCACATACACATGGTTTACTTATCTTTTAGGAAACCTCAAAAAGGCTGGTCAGGTGCACTCATTCCCTATACAAAGCACCTGCTAGGATGTCCACACACAAAATGGAGCACATGCTGGAGAGTGACATTGACAAAAAAGAACTGAGCTGCCTTGAATCTGAGTCTCCAGAAAGTCATGTTTACAGCCCAGGAGCTGAAATGTAACCAACAGTGAAGACCTCACATGTAGTATGGCATTCACTTGAGCAAACCACCATACATATCCAAGCCAGAAATGATATGAAAATCACAGGGGGTCAGAAAAACCTGTAGGCAAAGATAAGAGCTAGGCCTTGGTATCCAGAAGGTACCCAAGCTAAGCCTGCAGAAGGGCCAGCCCAGCATAAGAGGTCCCAACTCCTAGGGTGTATCTGTAAACATGCAGGCTCACAACTTCCTCTCCAACAAGGGAGATGGAACTGCAGCAAGTACTTCTGCAGGGTCCCGCTTGCCCTTGGCCAAAGGACCCTAAGGAGAAAGAGTACACTTTCCTGTGAGTTAGAAAACCAGTGTGCCAGCTGTGGTAACAAGACCTTGGATTAGGATCTGCAGCACTGTACACAGCCATTCTTCAGCCAGTGCCCCATCTGGAAGATGATGAGAACAAGCACCGAAAGTGAGGAGTCAACACTCAAGAAAGTAAGCTGACTACAGATCTTACTGTAAACAAGGTCAGCCACTACCTCAAGCTCCAGATCTTTTTTTTTTTTTGTTTTGTTTTGTTTTTTGTTTTTTTTTTGTTTTTCGAGACAGGGTTTCTCTGTGTAACTTTGCGCCTTTCCTGGAACTCACTTGGTAGCCCAGGCTGGCCTCGAACTCAGAGATCCGCCTGACTCTGCCTCCCGAGTGCTGGGATTAAAGGCGTGCGCCACCACTGGCCAGCAAGCTCTAGATCCTTTAAGAGCCAATTCCGGAAGCAGAAATGTCACGGATCTGATTTCCAAACTCAACGAGCAATGTGACTCAATAGTTTAAGGTGGCAGTCTCTAAGATGTAAACTACTTAAAATCCTAAAAAAATGTGCCAGTCTGTTGGCCCATGGGACAAATTTCCCCACAGAAACAGTAATTAAAAAGGTTGAATTACTATGGAAGCCTACAGGCACCCAAAACAGCCATTTTCAGTGAAGGTGACAGTTCTGGAAGTCTCTGAAGGTGTTTTTGGCTGTCTCGATAAGGGGCACTGCCAGCTTTTGTGGGATGAAGATGCTAGGCATCCTGCCAGATACACAAGTGTCACAAACAATAATAACTATTTTATATCCTCACCCCCTACATATTCACGTAGGCAACCCCCCTTTTGTCTATCAGGATCCAAGATCAGAATTGATGTTACTTTATAAACCACCATGAAAACATACATACACGACTGTAATACCCACTGAGGACGCCAGGACCACAAAATTGTGAAGGGGCACACAGCTTGGCTTGAGCAAGATAAAGCACAGAGCATCTCAGGACCATCACTCCACCAATCAGGATAGAGGTATGTCAGAGCTGCTGTTCAGCCTTATGTGTATCTGGACCATAATGCAGCCTGACACCTGCCACTGGTGTCAGTGTCCTCTGCCTTACCTGCCCACAACAAAGGACTTTCTGGTGTTGTAATCCTAGCCAAACCTCCACTCACTCAACCCCAGCAACAATTCAGAAAAATGTCAACCAATCTGTATGTGCAATAATTAACATGCCTCTATTATCAACATAACAGAGCAAAGATGCCACCAGTATCTCTCACTCCTGAAAAGGTTGTTCACTCAAAAAAACAAAAGGTACTTGTCAATCTAAACAGGCCATAGGAAAGGCAAGCTTGCTAGCATTTATCAAGGCTTAAAAATCCTGGCAATGTGACAGTCTCTTCAACCAGTAACCTAATGGCAACAGAGACCTGATCTAGGTCCCTGCGTTCAGGCAGTGTGAACTGGTAGGGGTACTTTAAGAACCAGAAGAAGTCTGAACTAGGACCCTGAATGCAGGCTGTGTGTGAACTGGTAGGAACACTGTAAGAACCAGAAAGTAGGTCACCTAGACAAGAGGACTGTTGGCTCCTTTGAGAGGTGAGACCTTCAGAGTCAGAATCAGTGCTTACTTTAAAATCTAGCTAAGTGGATCACATGCTTACAATTTGGTTCTCTAATTTCCAAATCCCTATACCTTTCAATTCTATGGCCCTATGTCTGACTTTTCTGTAGGATAGCACTTTAGGAATGTAATCAAACATCTGGTGCATATTTGTATAGGCTATGACCTACTATATATTTATAATGTATAAGACATGTATTCTCTAACACATATCACTCCCAAAAGAAGTTTATGGAAAAATTTCAGAATGGCAGTCCCATTCATAATGTAAAATGTACAGGAATCATGACAACAGGAAGTCTTTCTTCTTCCAGTCCTTCCTAGTTGCTGAAAAGGAGCACATATCCAAAAGCAAGAGTTACCTTAGACTTGTGATGAGAACATTAGTCCTGAGGATAGCCATGGAAAAGTCCTGACTTGGCCGCAGTCGCATGGATGATGCTAAACTCAGAATTTTTACCGTAAACAAAAGGAAGAATCTATGCCCCCGAAAGTTCATTAAGAAGCTTATTATAACAAAGTTAAGGATGAAAAGCTGCTGCAAAGAAGAACAAACATTAATGGGCAGTAGTATCTATGGCATTACTCTGCCCCATTTATACCTGTGGCCACTGCAGTAACAAACTTGGATCCAAAATGACCATCGGGAGAGAGCCGGCAAATGTTGGGGTGCTTGTTTTGAAAGTCTCCTGCAGTGATGCATTCTTCTGAACTCAGGAAATAGGTGTCCTAAGCCAAGAGAGGCGGTATATCAAATTTTACAGCATGTGTCAAAACAAGCTTCCATTTCTTCTGCAGAAAATATTAAGAGCTGGGCTAGCAAGATGACTCAGCAGGTAAAGATGCTTGCTACCAAGACTGACTGACCTGAGTTCAATCCCCAGGCCCCCCATGGTGCAAGGAGAGAAACAACTACAAGCTGTCCTCTGACCTCCACACGTGTGCCGTGGCACCTGTGTGTACACATGCAGTCAATAAATCAAATTAAAATGAAAACAAACAAGCAAACAAGAAAGAGCTTCTAATGCCAGCACTTGGGAAGCAAAGGGAAGTGGAACTCCGTGAGTTTGAGGCCAGCTTAGTCTGTATGGTGAGTTCCAGGCCAGCCAACGCTACATACTGAGATCCTTGTCTCAAAAAAATAAAAAGAGCTAAGCTACAGCATCTCAAAAATACTTGAGGCATAACAATAAGACAAATACCTGTAATTCCTAGCCATTAGGAATTCACTAGTTAAAACCACCCAAACTAGAAGGGCAGAAGGCCCTGGGCAACCCACTCCCACAGGGCTGCAAGTCAAGGGTGAGTGGGATTTTCTCTCTGGGATAGAATCAATAGGCTGAGACTTAACTAAGAAGAGTGTCTTGAAAGTTATTTGCAGGCTGTGCAGATACGAGAGATCCACGTCAGCACTACCTTAATGAGGTTTCAGGCCAAGTAACACTCCTGTCTCCATCTCACCTTATTCCGACTGTATCGGACTGTACCCTTTCGGGTATCTTCTGAGACAAGGTCCGTGAATATCCATCCAACCTTAATGGAAAAGGAAAGCATCTTTTGAGTATCTCCATACAACAGATGGCTTCTGTCCAGGAAGCATAAAAGCAGTGCCCTTCAGACAACCCTTCCGGCTCCTGAGCCAGGTAAAGCTGAGAGCACAGTTCCTTGGCTCTGCTGCCAGGGAGAAATTGGCACCTTCCTCTGGTGCTGTCATGACAAACATTCACCCATCAGACAGACTCTGCTCAGGACCACTCAAGCCCACACTTTGATAGAAGTCAGAAGAGGATGTGGCAAGAAAGGAGTTTAGGCTCCAAAAAGGAAGACAGACAAGAAGCAAGCAGTAAGGTGTCCTGGGGCAGGTCCTCTACCAGGAAGAAACAGAGTCCCTGGAAAGAGGCACCTAAGATGAAAGGAGTTGCTCCAGCAGAGGCCTCAGCTTGCCAGGCAGCACAGGAGCAGCTGAGGGCACAAGCTCTAAAGCTGCATCATTGGGGCCCTACAAGCCAATCCCAAGTGCCCTACAGTGACAAGGTCGGCTCACTCTCTCATCTAGGCTTACCTTGGCCTCCAGAGTCAGAAGACAGTAAGAGCCTGTCAGATTGGAGCTAGAGGACAAGCAAAGCATCCACTTTCATCCTTGGGAAAATTGAAAGATGGCCACCACCCTCTCCAGGAGACCCCGAGACTCAGCTCTTCAAACCACTCTCACAGGACTGCTACACTATGGATCACTACTGTTATAACAGTGCCCAGATGAGCACAAACCAAAAAGGATGGTATCAGAGAAAACAAGCACAGAGGATCCATTTCACTGGCACAGTCCAAATCAGGCTGAGGTAAGAGCAAGCCAAGGAACTTGGGTTTTGAGAAACTAACTTAAGTAACTTCAGACTTTATATTATGATGTTATAAAACACAAGTCTGGGCCAGTTTCTCTCCTGAAAAAAAAAGAACTTCCAGAATTTGCACTAAACTACGACCTGACATTAAGGTGCTGACTCCAGAACCTGTGGGGTATTTTGCCTCAACAAGGTAAAACTATGCTGTGACTTTCTCAGTCATGTTCCTAGGTTTTCCTGCCCACCTAGAGAGGTAAGATGAAGCAGTCCACACAGATTGATCCTCTCTGTCCAAATAAAAGGCAAAACTTACATGGCTACTAATACTGAACTAAACTTCCATAATGTGTTCAAATTCATGATACAGTGAGTCTGTAAATTCTAACAAGCCAGGAATGGTAGCACACATCTGCAATCCTCACAGGGGGAGGCTGAGGCAGGAGGATTTAAGTTGAGACCAGTGTGAGCTACAAAACAAGAACGAGTCTTAAAAAACAAAAAAACACATCCTAGGACCCTTATCAAGAGTGTGAAACCAACGACAGCAATAGACTGAAAGGACTTTCTACTCCTACCCACTCACTGTCCCAGAGACACAAGAAATCCAAAACTGACGCAGGAAGGGTACCAGCACTGAGTACCTAGGACAGAAAGTGAAGCAAGCCACGTGAACACTCCTATAGTGTACAATGTGGCAACGTTCCTCAGATACTATGACTGGCAAATTGAAAAGTTGTGTCTTTATATCTTTATTTTGGATTTTATAGTTGAGAGTCTTGTTCTATGCACCAGGCTAGCCTTGAACTCTTGATCATCCTGCCTCAGCCAGCAGGGGGGGAAGGGAGGGGGGCAACGACAGGGTTGACACACATGTGCCATAATGCTCACCTTTGCTTTTATACGTCAGAAAATGTTCTCACCTCAATCTATGTCAGAGAACATCAAAACTATTTGCAGCAATGAACACAAATGAGGGTCCAAAGGGGTTGAGCCTACACTTGATCTTGTCACAAGGGGTTTGGTCCCAGACCAGACTTAGCCACTCCACCTGTGGGTTTCCCCAAAGGCCACCTGGCTGGCAGAGGCCTCATACCTTCCTCAGGCCAAGTTTGGCAGCAATCTCATCAACCACCTCAGCTTTCGGATCTTCCAGAAGCTCCAGGCTGTTCTGGGTACCGATCTGTGAGGAACCATAGTTAGAAAGCAGTTAGAAGGCAGATTGAAGAGTGGCACTTCTACAACTTCCACCTCAAGCCTCAACCTCGCTGAAACACACAGCTACAAACGTAAAAGGGCCCAAGGAAAGCTGAACTGCTGTTTGCTTGAAAGGTGCCTTCACCTGGGGAATGGAGCCGCTCTCAGAACTCCCGTGGATAGGTAATTCTGCTCTGACAGGTGGCTGGCAGACAGACTGCAGCTGCAAGGTGGCAGACATCCCAGAACCATTTTTGTCCATTGTTCCTCTGGCTCAGTGTCTTGGCTATAGGACCAGGTATTGCCAAGACACTGAGCCAGCCAGAGGCACAATCTAACAGAAAATAAACAGATAGCCCAAATTAATCTGCGCAGTAGGAGGAGCATCTAGCTGGAGCATCTGATAGGCTCTGGGTGTGGCCAGTGCATGTCAACCTAAACTGTCAGCTCAGACATGAGATCTGCATCATGATGACCAGTTTACCCCAGAACTCATGGTGGAAAGAGATAACTGATTCCCAAAAGCTGTCTTCTGACCTCCACTATGTACACACAAAGTAAATAAATATAAAAAATTAGAGGCAGTCAGGTGGTGGTGGTGTATGCCTTTAATCCCAACACTCAGGAGGCAGAGGCAGAAGAATTTCTGAGTTTGAGGCTGGCCTTGTCTACAGAACGAATTCCAGGACAGCCAGGGCTATACAGAGAAACCCTGTTTTGAAACAAACAAACAAGAAGAATAAGAGGAAAAGAATTTTTTTTTTTTTTTTTTTTTGGTTTTTCGAGACAGGGTTTCTCTGTGTAGCTTTGCGCCTTTCCTGGAACTCACTTTGGAGACCAGGCTGGCCTCGAACTCACAGAGATCCGCCTGGCTCTGCCTCCCGAGTGCTGGGATTAAAGGCGTGCGCCACCACCGCCCGGCTGAGGAAAAGAATTTTTAAGTGATAATAAGTGATACTTCCTGAAATGGACAAAGCTTACCCAAAATCTTTCCTCTCCACTTAAATGCAGGCCCAAGGTCATGAGTAAGTACCCTTCTAAGCCAAAAAACCCAGTCACAGGGACTTAAAACACAAAGAAGCTTTAATGGAATTCAGTCCTGTAAACCAGTCAAGTTCTAACAAAACAGCAATGGATTTTATGTTTGCTGGATTTCATCAGGTAGGAAGCACTACCACTTTGAGAACACATGTCAAATACCAAGCACAGCATAAATATAAGATGCTTGCCCAATAACATGGTAGCCAGAGCTAACTTTGTATGGGCAGATAGTGTTAAGAGGTCAAGGATTTCAACCACTGGGACTCCCCAACATGGAAACACTGATACTAACAGTAGCAGTCAGAATGCCAGAAGTTTCTGTTCTTTCCCCAAAAATATGTGTTTTTATAGTTGTTGGTTTTCTTTTTTTCTTTTTTCTTTTTTTTTTTTTGGGGGGGGGGGTGTCTTTTGAGACAATCTCTAGTTATATGGTCCTGTCTAGCCTCAAAATCACTGTAGACTAGGCTGGCCTGAAAAACAGCTGACAGCCAGGCGTTAGTGACGCACACCTTTAATCCCAGCACTTGGGAGGCAAAGGCAGGAAAATCTCAAAAGTTTGAGGCCAGCCTAGATCTACTAAGTAAGTTCCAGGATAGCCAGGGCTACACAGAGAAATCCTGCCTCAAAGGGGGACGGGGGTGGGGGCGCGGGGCAGCGGTGCCAGGGGCCTGCAACCATCTCCTGCCTCTAGCTTCCTCAATGCTAGGATTAGTGGTGTTGGCTACCACATCCTGCCTTTTTTTGAACTTCATTCAATTCTCCTGTTTTGGCCTCCCAAGTGCTGGGATCTAAGGGATGAGCTGGGCTTCAATTATGCTTTTAATAGAACTGCTACACTATCCATGACAGAAACTTACAAAACCGAGCTGAGGCTCTGTGCTTACAAAGCAGCACTCCAATCAGAGAATACTCCACGATCCAAGGTCTGTATAAATAGATTTCTCTGTAGGGTCTCTGTTACCATTGACTAGTGGGAGGTTGGGGAGGGGGGTAAGGGAGGGGTGGCACATGCCTTTAATCCCAGCACTGGGGAGGCAGAGGCAGGCGGATCTCTGTGAGTTTGAGGCCAGCCTGGACTACAGAGTGAGTTCTAGGAAAGGCATAAAGCTACACAGAAAAACCCTGTCTCAGAAAAAAAAAAAAAAAAAAAAAAAAGACTTCTACAATTATCATGGTGGTAGTGGCCCACACCTTTAATCCAAGCACTCAGGAGGCAGAGGCAGGCAGATCTCTGAGTTCGAGGCCAGGATGGCCCACAAATTGAGATCCAAGACAGTCAGAACTGTTACACAGAGAAACCATGTCTTGAAAAAAGAACAATAACAAAAAACAAAACAAAACTCTCAGAGGAAAAAAAAAAGACTTCAATTTACAAATAGCTCAATACAAATGCTAAAATGTCAAAGTGGGGTGGCACACACAGGAAATCCTTGTAACAAAGGCAGGCAGGCACGTGCACTTCTGCAGAGGCCATGCATGCACTGTACTCCTTCCTACAGGCATGTCTGCAGACCCTGAATTGTGCCCCAGGATCAGATGGGGCCCTGGGTCAGATGATCTAAAAAGCAAACCAAGTGACCTCCAGAACACTGAGGTAAAAGAAAAGTGGTTAGTGAGATTTGCCACTAAGCCTGGTAGCCTGAGTTTGACCTCTGGAACCCACACAGTGGAAGGAGAGAACTAACTCCAGGAGGTTTTCCTTTGACCTCCACACATGTACTGTGGCATGCACAAACACACATATATAGAGACACAAATATACTAATAAAGAGAAAAAGAGCCAGGAGTGGTGGTGCCGGCCTTTAATCCCAGCACTCGGGAGGCAGAGACAGGTGGATCTCCAAGTTCCAAGACAGCCAGGGCTGTAAAACCAAAAAAAAAAAATAATAAAATAAAAAAAAAAATCCCAAACCCACAATGCATCTGCTCCTGTATATCGACTTCCCTTTGGCAGTCAGATTCTCATTTTTTTGGTGCAAGGTCTCATGCACCCAGACTGGCCTCCACCTCAATATGTAGCTAAGGATGAGCTTAAACTTCTGATTCTCCTGCCTTTTATTTCTTCAATGCTGGGATTACAGGGATATACCACCACACAAAGACTATAAAGTGGTAGGGACTGAACCCTGGGCTTTGTGAATGCTAGGCAAGTACTCTACCAAAGGAGCTATATCCCTACCCTGTGCCATAAGGCTGTGATCTTAATTTTCTAGTAATTTCATGCCCATGTATTGTATAATGTGTGCATGCTCAAGAGATAGAAAAGCTGTGGAAAAAGCAAAGAGAGGCCATCTGGAAAGGGTATATCCCAGACTCAGCTTTCACACACAGTAGATCCTGCACTCATATACCTGAGGAGGCTCATAAATTGCAGCCACTTCAGCCCTGATGCCGAGGGGAATGTCTTTGTGCTCTGTGTACCGTCCGTATAAATATCCGAAATGCTGATTTCCTGTCTTTCTCCAGAAGTCAAGGAATCGGTCAGCAACAGTGTGATTCTCAAACATGATATTGTCCACATGTCTGTATTTCTGTAGAATTAACAAACATAGGTTTAAGTGAAAAAAAAAACCCATTCCATCACAATGTTATTTTTTCAAGAAAAAAAATCTAGTGAAAACATTATCTAGATTTTTGTTAAGATTTAGTTTTGTTTTTTATGTACAGGAATGTTTTGCTTGTTTGCACCACCCACGTACAAGGTGCCCTTGGAGGTCTGGGACCGTGGTTACAGACATGTGTGAAATACCATGTGGGTGCTGGGAACTGAACCTGGGACCTCTGAAAGCGCAGTCAGTGCTCTACCCTCTGAGCCATCGCCCCAGACCTGAGTGTTTTTATTCCAGCTTGGACCCAGCCTTATCTAGTTCTTTCAACAAGGTAAACAGGCTTGGGGGTGTAGTTCAAAGACATGGCCACTGGTAGATCATTGACTTGCCTAGCATGTGCACTGGAGTTTAAGCCCCTAAAAACAAATTCAAGAACGTACTCTGATCCATCCCAGCACTCAGGAGGCTGATGCAGGAAGAAGACTGCCATGAGTTTGAAGCCAACCTGGACTAAAGGAAACAGCTGAAGACTGCTTCTAAAACGTGAGAGAAGGAGGGAAGGATGGAGGGAAACTAAGGAAAACTATAACTATCTAGTCTTCAATTCCATCAAAGACCTCAGAAGGGTATAATATTACCTAAGCAAACAGGAAGTGCATTGAAAGCAACTTCCAAAACTCTAGAAATGATAAGAGACATCCGGCTGCCTGGATAGTCACCCAAAGTTCCTATGCAACATTGGGGCACCCATCTTCAGTCTAAAGGCCTAGCGTCTCTGGCAGACTTTTTAGTGAAGCAGGAAATTTAAAGGATTGTCTCGCCTATTGGCAAAATCAGTTGTTTCTCTCTGAGTCCTGCAGAACGTCTGGCATCTCCTCTGTGAAGCAGGAACCTGAAGGGCCTTGCAAAGTTCAGTGGTCACCTTCCTATGAGTCCTGCATATCCAGTTCATATAGTGCCCTGTTAAGTAGTTGAGGCAAGGGTATTTTTTTTTACCCAGTGGCTAACTTTTGCCACAAAGAAAGCAAACTCCTTATATGGACTTTCTTCAATGCCCATTATCTTCTCTGAAGTAGACTGGTGCTGCCAGGAACAGACATGTCTCAATGTCCAGAAAAGTCTAAGTTCTTAAAAACACTTTAAATGCCATATTCTGTAGGTCTTTGAAGTGGTTTTGATTAGACAGAAAAGGGGAAGTGCTGTGGGATGTCTTTCTGTATGCTGTGAATATGTGCTGCTCTAATTTGTTAATAAACAAAGCTGCATTGGCCTATGGCAGGGCAGAATGGAGCCAGGGCAGAATGGAGCCAGGGCAGAATGAAGCCAGGGCAGAATGGAGCCAGGGCAGAATGAAGCCAGGCGGGAGATCCAGGATGGACAGAGGGAAAATGCAGGGTCAGGAAGACGCTGTGAGCCACCACCAGGAGAAACAAGATGTGAGAGAGCAGGTAACGCCATGGCCACGTGGCAAAACATAGATTAATAGAAATGGGTTAATTTAAGATGAAAGAGCTAGCTAGCAAGAAACCTGAGCGATAGGCCATATAGTCTGTAATTAATATTAAGCCTCTGAATGATTGTTTTATAAGTGGCTACAGGACCTCAAATGGGAGAGATTCATCTGGACCTCAGGGCCAGGCAGAACCAGAGAAACTTCTGGCTACAAAACGTTATCTCGAAAACAAACAACTACAACAACAAAAACCCACAAAACAAAAAATCATGTAACTAAAAACATAAACAAACAAATAAATAAATGAAGCACCACAGAATTTGCCACGAAGGAAGTGTCCATTTGTCAGGCATGAAAACAAATCTCAGGGACACAGGTAGCCTCACCTGTCTGTTCAGCGTGATGGCACTAGGTTGGCATTTGGTACAGATACCATTTGGCCATGGGAGGTGTCCCTCACACCCTGACTTAATCTTGCAGCTGATGTTCTCCAGGGCAACAAACTTCCCCCTAAGGAAGAAGACGAGAGACTGAGTTAAACACAACAGCGGGATTCAGGCAGGAGACAGGAAGGGTGAGTGAGACACCTTACACCCCCTGGGCCATGCAGCTAGGGGCAAGAGTGCAAGACAATGCACTGAAACCACTCTACTTTTCACAGTGCCTCGCAGTGGGACACACAGCTCCTTCTACAGAAATCCAGTTTTTGTTCTCAGCTCGTTCCCACACCCATCAGGTTCTCAAGAACACTGACGAATACCTATTATCTAACTTGTGCCACCAAGAGAAAAGGAAGCTTATCAGTGACTGATGACATTATTAGCCCAGTATCTACTCATTTGTATAACATCTTTATTCTTAGGAAAAATCTGATTAGGATACAGAACAATAATATATTCATTCTATTTGCTTTTAGCTAAAAGCAAAAAGCACTGTCTTTGGATATCAATGAGGAAGTACTGGGCCTACCACTGATATAGGGAATTTCTGTACACATGATATTGGTTTCCTCAATCACAGAATGCCTCCATTAATTCCACCTTTTTCCTTTGTAATAGTTGTTTTATTACATTTTATATATTTAGTGTGTGTATGTGTATGTGCATTCACACATGTATGTACACGTGGAGGTGAGAGGTCAATTTGCAACAGCTGGTTCTCTCCTTCCACCATGTGGGTCCTGGCCGGGGATTGAACTTAGAACTTAGGTCATCAGACTTGATAGTGTTACCTTGTCATCTCACCAACCTCAATTTTCTTTCTTACCCCTCCCCCAGCTTTATTAAGACATAACTGACCCAAAAACTTATACATATTTAAGTTGTAAAATGTGACATTTGTTTTGTAAATAAAAATTCTGTTTTGGGTGTTCATGATCATTCAAAATACTTATATGCTATGATGGCTAACTTGAGGTGAATTAAGACTACCTTACCTAGCTGGGCAGTGATGGCATAAGCCTTTGATTCCAGCACTCAGGAGGCAGAGTCAGGCGGATCTCTGTGAGTTCAAGGCCAGCCTGGTCTACATCATGAGTTCTAGGACAGCCAGAGCTACACAGAGAAACCCTGTCTCACAAAACCAAAACAAAACAAGGATTCCTTTGCCTGACACTAAATGCTTTTTCCCAAGCCAAGGGTGCACTAGCCTCTACTGCATAAGGTGAGCTGCTGCTCACAGGCTCTGTCTCCACAGAAGAGGAACATTCCTTGACCCAAAATGACAAGAAGTTGAGCAGGCACCTCCTACAGCAAATCTACCTGCTTCCAAGAGAACCCCACAGCCTTCCCCGCTGACAGTTAAGTGTGTGTGTTTCTGGTGGTGTTTTGCTCCTAGTCTAACATTTTTATTTTTTTGAAAGTTGGTTTGTTTTGTTTTTTAATTAATTTATTTTTATTTTATGTCCATTGGTGTTGGGTCCCCTGGAACTGGAGTTACAGAGAGCTGTGAACTGCCATATGGGTGCTGGCATTGAACCCAGGTCCTCTGGAAGAGCAGTCTGTGCTCTTAATTGCTGAGCCATATCTCAAGCCGGCCACCACACCCCCAGTCTAACATTTTTAAATGGTCATCTTGGCTGGACATAGTAGCATACGCCTTTAGCCTTTAATCCCAGCACATGAGAGATAGGAAGATCTCTGCGTCTGAGGACATCCTGGTCTACAGAGCAAGTTCTAAAATAGCCAGGGAAACACATAGAAACCCTGGCTCAAAACAACAAAATAAATAAAAAATAATTTTGGGTGTCAGCAGGTTGACTTGGACCAGTGCCATCTCTTACCAGTGACAGGAGTTACAAAGCTGCCAGAAGGTCTGATATTCTCTGTCAGATGGACACAACAGGAGCTACACATACAGGCAGATTAAAAAGAACAAACACTGCCAGGAGGGACAGTACACATCCGTAATCCCAGCACTCAGGAGGCCAAGGCAAGAGGATCTCAATCAAACAAACACCAGTCTTGGTTTACCTTCCCGGACACCAGAATTCAGGCGAAGAGGAGGCTGCTTGTGCCGTCCACCTGACCAAGTATGTTAACTAAAGCCCCCGTGGTACCAGAATACAACCCATAGATAAGTGTTGTGGCTTCACCCCCGTTACAGTTGTAAAAGTGAACCTGACAGACAGACAGAGCCCTGGAGAAAGAGCAGGCAGGAGGGAAGGTTGGTGAGCTGAGATCCTTATGGGGTAGCTGTCTTTCTGAAAAGCAGAAGATGGTTCAGACTCAGGGATTCACCAGGCCATTCCACATCTACCATCAGTTGTGAGTCTGTCTGTTTCTCTGTGTACTGTGGATGTACAGCAGGACAGATGTACAGCAGGACATCTGTCAGACTCTCTGCCCTGCTTCTAGAACAGACAATATTCAAGACTACTGCACTCTGCACTGCCTTCCTTTACTTTTGCATTTCCATGACCAGTAACTATAAACAAAACCATCAGAAAAGCATGAAGAGTTTGAGTGCTAGGGCCAGAGTGGATACTTACTTGTCTGCCCCTCCAGTCAGCTTCCGGATGTAGGCATGGAAGGACATGTGCTTCACAGGAGGCTCCAAGTGGTTCAGATAGTCCTCATCAAATGGCTATTAATAATATACAGGAAATGAGTGGTCACGGTCTGCCAGGGTACATGAAACTTCAATCTTATTGTGCAGAGAGTCAGACCAGACAGCACAGAGATATGGAGGGAGGCTAAGCTAGGTCTTCACACTTCAAGGTCAGAATCAAGTTTTTTCCTGTTACATTTTCATGGTAAAAATGAACTCCTATTAAAGACAAAAGCTCTAAGAAAATTTTGCAAAGTCACAAAAGGCCTGAGGATACAGCATAGTAGCAAAGCCCTGAGTTCAATCCTCATCGACACACACACACACACACACAGGAGAAACAGACAGACAAATCACAGCAGACATAAGCCTCAGACATGGTAAATCAAAACCATGACAAGCAGGCACCGAGAAGCCCAGCTATGTGTCAGAGAATAATTATCTAGGAAGACAACTGTACATATTCTTCATCAGCAACACAATGCCTCAGCCATTCACAATCCCGCTAGAAGGTCACTCCCATAAATAAGTCTCAGATTCTCTGTGCCACTTGTACTATTGGGAATACAAGGCCCAAGACAATAAATAGAAAAATTCTTTTAAGAGCCCCAACACCCACGTTTTGGGACCAGAAAGTGCTGAGATAGCTCTATCAGCAGCCAACCACACTGCCCAGCCAAGAACTCCCTCTGCACAGACTTACCTCCAACGGGACGCAATGGACACACTTCCCCAAGGGGCCATGGCGACATCTGAAGGGTGCACAGGGTCAAAGAAAAGCACAGGGACACAAAGGTTATTTTCTGTTGCTACGTCCCAAGTTTTTTGATATTTAAAATGTACATCACACTTTGGTAAAATGCTTCCCTACAAATAAAGAATTACTGTTGATGGTACACAGATAAATGTTCCCATTGTAATAGTTATTATTTATTCTGATATGTATCAGAAAAAAAACTACTACGTGGGATGACATAAGCCTGTAACCACAGCACTCAGGAGGCAGAGGCAGAAAGACTCAAGTTCAAGGCCAGTCTGACTGACAGGGCTGTCTCAAAAGAGAACGGGAAAGGGTAGAGGGAAATGAAGAACGGGCTGGAGAGGAGAAGAAATGGAAAGTGAAAAACCTGCCACATTAAACTCGTGGTTTCATGAATAGTAATTGCTTAAAATGACACTAACTAAAAATAAAATAGTGCTTATCAAACACACAAGGTGATGTTCCCTCTTTAGCATAAAAAATAAAAATGTTTTGAAGTCACATTAAATAAAAATGTTAAGGAAAAGCTGGGCAGTGGTGGTGCACACCTTTAATTTCAGCACTTGAGAAGCAGGGGCAGGCAGATCTTTGTGAGTCTGAGGCCAGCTGGATGTATAGCTTGAATTCCAGGACAACCAGAGCTGCACAGAAAAACCCTGTCTTGGAAACCCTACCGCCCCCCCGCCCAAAAAAAAAAACAAATACCTCATGGATAGGGCAGAAACCCTGACACACTGCATAAGCAGCCCTTAGTCTGAAATGTGTACATCACACACACTCAGGAAACATATAAGGATGCCAGGATCTAGGGGTTTGGGACAGACAACATGTACAACAAATGGAGAGATGCTTAAGTGTATGAGGGTACAGTGGCATCATCAGGACAAATTGTTTGAAGTCCTGCAAAGGTTCAAATGGGGTCAGAATTCTTAGATGCATGTGATTTATAAGAAACAGAAGAGCAAGACTAGCTGGGCAATTGTGGCATAAGAGGCTCAGGAAGAAGCTGGTGGGTGCCTTGCCTAACCCTGATGTGGTGGCACACACCTTTAACGCCAGCATTCAGGAGGCAGAGGCAGTCAGATCTCTCTGAGTTCAAGGCCAGCCTGGTCTACACTGTGAATTCTTAGACAGCCAGGGCTCACAGAGAAACCCATCTTGAAAAACCAAAAAAGAAAAAAGAAAAGAGGGAGATTCTGTATTTCCTATGTCAGTAAGAGGCAGGGGTATTTCTGAAGAGCAGAATTAACACATATGTGAGGCCGGGCGGTGGTGGCGCACGCCTTTAATCCCAGCACTCGGGAGGCAGAGCCAGGCGGATCTCTGTGAGTTCGAGGCTAGCCTGGTCTCCAAAGCGAGTTCCAGGAAAGGCGCAAAGCTACACAGAGAAACCTTGTCTCGAAAAACAAAAAACAAAAAACAAAAAAAAAAAAAAGAAAAAACAAAAAAAAAACACATATGTGAGCGCATGCTCTAAAAGATAGCTAATGGAGGTAGACATGAAAGCCCAGATCATGATGAGTTCCCGGGAACAAACACAAATGGAAGGCATCTTAGAGGCTCCAGCCACTGCAGCTAAGCAGCATTTGTGGCTATTCCATCTTACAAAAAAGTTGCTGACATAGCATTTAGAATAGCAGTGTGCCAGTGGCAGTATCTTATCACATCCACAGAGTGATGCACTTAAAAGAGACGCACTACAGAGACAAACAGCCTCCGCTCACATAATTTCACATTGCCGAGTGTAAATCCAGATGTTTCTAACTGGTTTCCCTATTTTATTTTTTAATTTTAATTTGATTTTATGGGTATGCGTGTTCTGCCTTTATGTGTATCTGCATACATGCCTGGTGCTCTCAGAGGCCAGGCAGCTGTAAACCACCATGTGGGTGCTGAGAATCAAACCTGGATCCTCTGCAAGAACAGCAAGCACCCTTAACTGCTGAGTCATCTCTCCAGTTCTTAACTGGTTTCTTTTAAAAGAATTGCAAAAAAAGTCTAAAATAAGGAATACACACATGCACTAGCACTTTACACAACCGGGTACAAAGTAAACATCAAAGCAGATCTGCAAACCAGACACTCACTAGAGGCACACACTAGCACCTAGTGCCCAGGTTATTCTAACAGCATTCGCTCTGGAGAAGTCAGAGCCAGCCCTTGTATTGGTAAACACTGAACCCCCGGTCCTTCTACCCCTACCTCTGCTGGTGGGAGGGGACAGGTATCTAAGGAACACCAAAATAGAACCTACCTGTGCCTAGAATCTCTTAGTATTCACATACGCCTAATAGTTTTTGTTTGTTGTTTCTTTTGAGTAAAATAATGTGACAACAGATGGCCACTCAGGTCTTTCACCTCACCAGACACTTACTAGCATGGAACTTGTTTAAACTGTTTTTTCTTTCGAGGCAAGGTTCTCCTAAGCTAGCCTGAGCTCACCATGTCAACTACACTGACCTTGAACTTGACCAGTCCTCCTGCTTTTGCCCCCAAGTGCTAAGATTACAAAAGCTCTTAAATGTTTCCTTTAATGATCCATTAAGAGCTCCGCAGGCAGGAGCCTTATAGAGCACTTACAGCTGTGGGTCCCGGCTCCTATAAATCTTCCCGTCCTGCTTGCTGAGATATTGATCGATCTCATCTTCAACCACGTTAGGAGCACCAAAGGCCTTTAACCCTAGTGAGGTCGATGTCTCCATTTCAGACGAAGGTCCAGCAAGGCTTGAGGGAAACAGGAACAACAAATCGCCATGCCTGTTCAAAGGACAAAACATCAAACGCCATCCTTTCCTCCAAAATCAAACCACACAGTTTAGTGTGGATATGTGGATCCTGATAGCTTCAAAAGAAATTGGTACGGTCTAAAGCTCTACATAGGGAAGTTCCTGATTTTAAGAGAACAGAATTATTTTTTTCTTGGCATTATACACATCAGTGCAGATTCTTGGAAATTTAACTACTCTCACCAATTTATTTTAAAAGCTATGAGGGCCAGGCAGTAGCAGTGCACACCTTTAATCCCACCAGTTGGAAGGCAGAGACAGATGGATCTCAGTGAGTTCAAGGCTAGCCTGGTCTACAAAGCGAGTTACAGGACAGACAGGACTGCTACACAGAGAAACCCCGTCTCAAAAAACCAAAAGACTGCCGGGCGGTGGTGGCGCACGCCTTTAATCCCAGCACTCGGGAGGCAGAGCCAGGCGGATCTTTGTGAGTTCGAGGCCAGCCTGGGCTACCAAGTGAGTCCCAGGAAAGGCGCAAAGCTACACAAAGAAACCCTGTCTCGAAAAAACAAAAAAAAAAAAAAAAAAAAAAAAAAAAAAAAAAAAAAAGAAAAAGAAAAAAAACCAAAAGACTGACCTGTAGGCAAGCCCATGGAGCATTTTCTTAATTAGCAACTCATGTGGAAATGTCCAGCCCATTTATTGGTGGTGCTACCCCTGGCCAGATAGTCCTGGAGTGTTTAAGAAAGCAAGCTGAACAAGCTATTAAAAATAAGCATTTTGGGGCTGGAGAGATGGCTCGGAGGTTAAGAGCACTAACTGCTCTTCCAGAGGTCCTGAGTTTAATTCCCAGCAACCAGATGGTAGCTCAAAACCATCTGTAATGAGATCTGGTGCCTCTTCTGGCTTACAGGCATGCATGTATGCAGAATACCATAATCATGACAAATAAAACTTTTTTTTTTCTTAAAGAATGAGCATTTTGGCAGAGGCAGGCAGATCTCTGTGAGTTGGAGGCCAGCCTGAGCTACAGAGTGAGTTCCAGGAAAGGTTCCAAAGCTACACAGAGAAACTTTGTCTCAAAAAACCACAAAAACAAAAGCAAAAAAAGAATGAGAGCATTTCTTCATGGCTTCTGCTTCAGTTCCTGCCCTTCCCTTCCCTCAGTGGATTGTGACCCAGGACATGTAAGCCAAATAATCCCCTTCCTCCCCAGCTGCTTTTGGTTGTGGTGTTTTATTACAGCAACAGAAATCCTAGATAATGACTCATTTAAAAAAAAAAACAAAAAACAAAAAAAAACCCACATCTCACTATGTAGCCTAGGCTGGCCTCAAACTCAGTATCCTCCTGCCTCTACTTACTAAGCGCTAAGATTACAGATGTGTGCCACCAGTTTGGCTTCATATTCCCCAGGGAGGTAGGCTCACCATGCTAAGGGGCAAGTCTGCTGGTTTCTGCCACTGTGAAGAACACACCCACAAACAGATGCCAACACTCACTCTGATAGGACAGATTCCCAGGCACAACCTTCTGTTCCAAGACTGTGGAAGGTCTGCAAGTCTACTTGCTGTGTGCTCTAACTTGACATGACTTGTAGCTAAAGGATGTTTCCCATCGTGGGTCATGCCCGACCAGAGATGGCTTGTGGCACTAAATCAGCTCCAGCCTCTGAAGACAGGAGGCAACAGAACAGTTGGCAAACTTTCAGCTGCCATCAACAGGACACACAAGAAAAAAGCTGAAAGAACAGCTGGCCCAGTGCTGAACAGCAAACCAAAGGAAGAGCAGAGTCTGCAAGTGCAAACACTGCAAGACATGCAGCCCCCCAGGAGCATGGCTGCAGCTCTTCTTATTCCTCCATAATTCATAGGCAATAAAACTGCCAAACTGTAACCAGGAGTTCTGCTTCTAGCAGGGGATTAGATATTCCTAAATACCCTCTAGCTATGAACTACTTGGCTCAGACCCTGGATCAGTTTTGACAAATATACTGTAAAAATGCTGCTGAGCCCTAAAGGGTTCAGAATACCCAGGTTTCCCAAAGCTGGCAGTGAGGTCAGTAAGAACAGAAGAGGACACAGCCATGGTCCCTTGGCCAAGGCCGGGATCAAGAACTTGATCAAGACTTCTGGGTTCGCTAGACAACAGATTAGGCCTGGAGCTCCCTGCCTCATGAAACTGTTAGCCTGGCCTGGCAGCACACCTTTAATCCCAGGACTCAGGAAGCAGAGCCAGGAGGATCTCTGTGAGTTCCAGGACAGGCTCCAAAGCTATGCAGAGAAACCCTGTCTCAAAAAAACAAAAACAAACAAACAAAAGACTGTTAGCCTGAAACTCCCACATAAAGCCAAATGATTAGCCAGGCTTGCCAGTGCACACCTGTAATCCCAGCACTGAGGACGGTGAGAGCAAGAGGATTACAAATTCAGGGTATTTTAGCTTCACTTCAAGATCAAGGCCAGCTTGGATTACATGAGACCCTGTCTTAAAAAAACCAAAAAGGCCGGGTGGTGGTGGATGTCTTTAATCCTAGCACTCTGCAGGCAGATCGGATCTCTGTGAGTTTGAGGCCAGCCTGGTCCACAGATTGAGTTCCAGGACAGGCTCCAAAGCTACACAGAGAAACCCTGTCTCCAAAAACAACATCAACAAAAAAAAAAAAAAAAAATCACAAGCAAATAAAAAACCCAGGTGACTAAGGGAAGTCTGAACAACTAAGAGAATCCAGGAGGTCAAAACGGGAGCCAAGAAGAAATCCAGTCTGCTTCCACCAGAAGCACAGCAGGGAAGTTACCTCCAAGACTCTAAGCAGAGGCCTGCATATGGGAGTGGAATCTGGGCTGTTTGGGGATCTGGAAGACCAAAACCAGAAAGGCATGCAGTCTTAGCTCCACAGCACCCCCTTGTGCTTACACAGCAAATGCCACTAAAATGAACTTGCATCGAATAGAACTATGCTTCCTCACACCTCTCCCAATAAAAACCAAAGATACAAGGGAAATAAATTCCCTCAAGCAAGAGTAGACAGAAACAAGTGCTGAGAGAGAGAGAGGAAGGCCTAGGATTCAAATGCTGGAATTACAAGACACAAACACAAACTCCAGAGAATGGAACAGAAACCTTCCAAGGAGTGATATGGAACCGTGAAGTGCTACATACCAACAGCTCTGCGTGAAAGGGAATCAAACAATGTTTTGGCTAGGCCTGTAAATCAGCTACTTAGGAAACTGAGACAGAAGGCAAGTCCAAAGCTAGCCTGGGCAACACAGAAAGACTGTCTCAAAATAAAAAGTTTACAAGTCGGGAGCAGAGACCTGGAGTCACAGCTCAGAGTATAGCACTTGCCTGGTGTGCATAACAGTACTCACTGCAAGCTGATAGCAGTACTGAAAAAAACAACAGGGCATTTAAAGTGAAAGTGCTACAGTGGAATGTGTCTGTAGTCTCAAGCAGGAAAATTCCAACTCAAGAAATAAAACAATATGAAAAGTGAAAATAGACGCACTACACTCCTAAAGAAGAGGGCAGCACCCAGAGACTGTCGTGTTAACCAATCAGGTCTCCACATTCAACATGCAGAGCAAGGAATTGAGATCAAGGAGAGCAGATATGAATGCAGCCCACAAACTCGCAATCCTCCTTAGTCTCCCAAGACTATGTGTCAGTAAGCTCAATTCAGACTTTTTCTTTCTAAGTTTTGTTTTTGTTTTTTGTTGTTGTTTTCTTTTTCTTTTTCCTGGAGCTGAGGACTGAACTCAGGACCTTAGCACTCTACCACTGAGCTAAATCCCCAACCACCTAAGTTGTTTTGTTTTTTTTAAAGATTTATTTATTTATTATGTATACAGAAGAGGGTGCCAGATCTCATTACAGATGGTTGTGAGCCACCATGTGGTTGCTGGGAATTGAACTCAGGACCTCTGGAAGAACAGTCAGTGCTCTTAACCTCTGAGCCATCTCTCCAGCCCAGTTGTTTTTTTTTTAAATAAATTATTATTTTATGTGCACTAGTGTTTTTACCTGCATGTATGTCTGTGTGAGGGTGTCAGATCTTGGAGTTATAGACAGTTGTGAGCTGCCATGTGGGTGCTGGGAACTGAACCCAGGTCCTCTGGAAGAGCAGTCAGTGCTCTTAACCGCTGAGCCATATCTTCAGCCCCTCTTTTTAATTTTTTTGAGACAAGGTCTCACTATGTAGCTCTTGCTGTCCTTTACTTTCATGTATTTTTAAAATATTTCAAATTTTATCTCGTAGGTCGGTGGTGGCACGTGTCTTTAATCCTAGCACTTGGGAAACCGAAGCATCGGAGTCAGACCTCTGTGAGTTCAAGGCAGCCTGGTCTACAGAGATAGATCCAAGACAGCCAGGGTCACATAGAGAATAGAGAATACCAAAAACCAAAAACCAAAAAAAAAAAAAAAGGTTTACCTCATAGGCAAGGCTTGGTGATGCATACCTTTAATCCCAGCACTTGGGGTGTTTGAACACTTGCCTAACATGCGTGAAGATTTAAATAGCAACATCAAAAGCCCTGCCCCAGCTGGAGAGATGGCTCAGCATCTCTGAGTTTAATTACCAGCACCTACATCAGACAGCCCACAACCACCTGTAACACACAGACACACAGACACACTCACATACACATTAAAAAAAAAGTGTCACAAAAGCCATAGCCATTGTTCTTACTATACTCATGTGAAAGAGGCATAAGGACAGCAAGACCCAGTGAAATGAGGAAACTTTCCAAGGCTCACAGGTGGGAGGGAATGGCAGCATAAGTTCAAACTTCCTTAACATTCGTGAAAAATGAGTTGACTCTGGGAGCTGGAGAGACAGCTCCGTGAATGAAGGGGCCTAAGACAAGTCCAATGACCTGAGTTTAACCTCCAGGACCAAAAGGAGAAACTCATTTCCCCAAATTGTCCTGTGACCTTACACTCGAGAGCATGCTCATACATGTGCACACGCACAAATAAAATGTAATAGATTTTGTTGTTGTTTTGAGACAGGGTCTCAATACATAGCTCTGGCTGTCCTGGATCTCATTATGTAGACCAGGCTGGCCTCAAACTCACAGAGAACTACCTGTTTCTGCCTACCAAGTGCTGGCATTAAAGGTGTGTGCCACTATGCCTAGTTATAAAAAGTTTTTTAAAGAAATGATTGTTTTTCAAAATTTGAAAACCCTTCACCAGGATGCAGCTCAGGGGTAAAAGGGTGACTACCATGTTCTAGACAAGACGTTCTACTTCCAGCTCCATAAAAAAACTAAAGGCTAGCCGGGCAGTGGTGGTGCACGCCTTTAATCCCAGCACTCGGGAGGCAGAGGCAGGCGAATCTCTGTGAGTTCGAGGCCAGCCTGGGCTACCAAGTGAGTTCCAGGAAAGGCGCAAAGCTACACAAGAGAAACCCTGTCTCGAAAAACCAAAAAAAAAAAAAAACCAAAAAAAAAAAAAAAAAAACTAAAGGCTGGCCAGGTGGTGGTAGTGCACCCCTTTAATTCCAGCACTCAGGAGGTTGAGCCATGCGGATCTCTGTGAGTTCGAGGCCAGCCTGGTCTACAGAGTGAGCTCCAGGACAGGCACCAAAACTACACAAGAAACCTTGTCTCGAAAAAACAAAAACAACAACAACAACAAAAAAAAACACTAGAGGCCAATCTGATCTACCTATCTAGCAAAATCTTACCCCCAAATAAATTAAACACACAAACACACAAACAACCCAACTTTCTTAAAGCTCAAAGAAAATATGTCCTTGGCCACCCTGGAAATGGTCACAAATAACAATAGTGAAAGATACTAACTAATTATAGGGATAGGCAAACAGGGACCAAGTCTTTGCAGAACAAATAAATGATATCACTATATTTCTGTTTGTCACATTATCCTACTATGATAAAAGTGGTAAAATTGCCAGAATAGCCTACTGTTTGTTCTGTTCTGTCTAATAAACAGGCATGCAGACAAATGCCTGCAGACTGAGCCATACATGCAGGTAAACACTCATACACATAAAATTAAAAAAAAAAAAAAAAAAAAAAAAAGACTGTTCACTAATGCAGATGCCCAGTTTAGACGAGGCTGAACAAGCTTGTCTATAAAAGGCCAAACAGCCAACATTTTGAACTCTGCAGGCTACGTGTTATAATCACTCACCTCTGAACTTACAGCATGAAAGTAGTCACAGACATGACTGCGTTCCAATAATACCATAAACAGGAGTGAGTCAGAGGCCTTTGCCAAAGCCTCACTGACACGTGAAAATGGGCCACCATATCTCCCCGGTTTTCTTAGTAAGCAGGGCTGACATGGCATGATCTCTTCTCAAATACTTGTGCTCTAAGTAAGTTGTCTGCTCCAGACAAGACGTTGACTCTACTTCAGACATGGATCTAAGACCATAACCTTCTCCTAACACCATTCCAGGATTCCATAGTCTCACCTGCTCAACGCTAACTGCTGGTCTAGTACAGCTGCTGTACACCAGGCAAGCAACACAATCTCTGTCTGTGAGCAGTTAACAGGGCTGTAATTATAGTAGTACCCAGAGGATAAGGGAATCCAGGCAGCCTCAGTTGGAGCACTGGACCTAGTCCCTCCCGCTGCCTGTCTCCCACCAGCTGGACACTTACTTGATTTTTAGCAAATGAAGGGATTTGCTGGACGATGCTGTTATCTCTCCAGTCTTGTTTCTATTGATGTAAACTGAGAAGCCGTTGTTTTGGAATCCAAACTCCTTTGCAACCTACAAGCCCCAAACAACAGAAATGTAATGAAGATCCGAGCTGGCATACCACAGGCTGTCAAGACCACTGGAAAACACTTGGTAAAGTTAGGAAGTGCTCACCAGTCGGACCCCCTGTCATTTCACTCTGGAGAAAAACTAGTCATCATACCAGTGCCAATTCAAATAAGTGGCCCACGGGAAACAAAGGTCTTGTAAAAACATGGAAGAGATGAAACTGGCCAGAGTCAAGGCCACGTGTGGCAAGTTAATCAATAGTCAAAACCCAATTCCAATCATAAAACCTAACAACAGAGAAAAAACGGAGTATAGAATGATGTCACCAATCAAGAAAAGTCAGCTGCTGGGCATGGTGGCATACGCCTTTAATCCCAGCACTCAGGAGGTAGGCAGAGGTGGGCAGATCTCTGTGAGATGGAAGCCAGCCTGGTCTACAAAGTGAGTTCTAGGACAGCTAGAGCTGTTACACAGAGAAACTCTGTCTCAAAAAAGCCAAGAAAAGAAAAGATGGATGGATGGATGGATGGATGGAAGGAAGGAAGGAAGGAAGGAAGGAAGGAAGGAAGGAAGG